ACCCAGTGCTCATCTTTGTCAACTTCTACAACACTGCTCATTCTCTTCACGGAAATGGCTGTGAGAGGCAGGAGGATGGCACAGTTGGGATCCGAAAATCTGGCTGGCTACTCTTGGAGAGGCCTCAACCCACCACTTATAAAATGCAACCAGCCTGTTACAGGCCTGGCCAGCCCCCACCAATTCCAGCCACCTCAGTGGAGGGGCCAGATGTTCCAGTCCCAGACATGCTCCCAGCTGAACACAGCTGCCCAAGTGACCACAGAGAATGCTACATGGAAAAGAATCTCCCAGGTGGGCCCAGCCATCCCTCAGAATCAAATATGCATTTAGGAGATGCCTGGGTAGCTCAGTCAGCTAAGCGTCCGACTCGTGATTTCAGCTCAGGTCATGATCTCAGGGTCGTGAGATGTAGCACATCGGGTCCTGCGCTGGGTGTGAAGCTTACTTAAGATACTCTCTCAGCCTCTGTCTCTCCCCCACCCTGGCTCTCGTGCACACTTGCTCTCTCTCCCTCAAAAAAAAAAAAAAACATGCCTTTAGAAAGATAAAAGGTCTTTCTCTTTCTCTGCACAACTTATTAAAAAGAAAAATAAATGTTGAACTCCCTGGGGTGGCGGTGGGGTAAGACTTCAGTTCTTCAGCAGTCAAGCTCCTGGCTGTATGCAGAGATGAGAGAAAGCAAATCATATCACAGGGGAGGCAGGGAACTAAGGGAACATGCAGAGTCTTCAGGGTCCACAAGAAACGGATCCAGAGCATCACACGGGTACACACGACACAGTGCAAAGCACACTAGCATGAACTCTTCTAAAAAAAAAAAAAAAACGGTGTTAAAGACACCATCCTCAGAGACTGCCCACTGAAGAAATAAACAAAAACAACACGGTAATAAATGCCGGAAGTCAGATTGGGGTATCTCAGCATGGACAACTCAGTACAGAACTCTGCCCTGCCCATATTAGGATTTTCCATGCTAAACACATTCAGGTGCTGGGCCTAGTTAAAAACTCACTATTCTTTAAAGAGGGACAGAACACTAAAAGTCTAAAGCCTCCTGTATGTCCTTTGTACTTTTCTCCATCTGATCTTTTTAAAGTCCTTTAAAAGTGAAAACCTCTTTTGTTTTCATGTGCCTGATGGCCATCTGGATATCTTCTTTAGAAAAATGTCTGCTGGTGTCTTCTGCCCATTTTTTAACTGGATTATTTGGGTTTTGAGTGTTGAGTTGTATAAATTCTTTGTATGTTTTGGATACTAACCCTTTACCAGATAGGCTATTTGGAAGTATCTTCTCCCATTCTGTAGGCTACAATTTGTAGATTGTTTCCTTTGTTATGCAGAAGCTTTTTATCTTGATGAGGTCCCAATAGTTTTTGCTTTTCTCTCCCTTGCCTCAGGAGACGTGTCTAGTAAAAAATTGCTGCAGCTGAGCTCAAAGAGGTTGCTGCTGTGTTCTCCTCTAGGATTTTGATGCTTTCCTGTCTCACATTTAGGTCTTTCATCCATTTGGAATTTATTTTTGTGTGTAGTGTAAGAAAGGGGTCCAGTTTCATTCTTCTGCATGTTGCTGTCCAGTATTCCCAACACCATTTGTTGAAGAGACTTTTTCCCATTGGATATTGTTTCCTGCTTTTCAAAGATCAATTGACCATATAGTTATGGGTTCATTTTTGGGTTTTCTATTCTGTTCCATTGATCTATGTGTCTATTTTTGTGCCAGTACCACACTTTCTTGATCACTACAGATTTGTAATATAGCTTGAAGTCTGGAGTTGTGATGCCTCCAGCTTTGCTTTTCTTTTTCAAGATTGCTTTAGCTATTTGGGGTCTTTTGTGGTTCCATAGAAATTTCAGGATTGTTTGTTCTAGCTCTGAAAATTGGTCTTCTATGAAAACCTATATTGGTAGGAAGCAGATTTTGAGTTAAGATTCTGATATTCAAAATTACAATTACTCGAACTAGTAATTTAACTAAAAAGGTAATAAGCAATTTTTAAAATTTCAATCTTAGCAGAATTCAAAGAAAGGTCATTAACAAATGTCACTTTTCACCTATCACAATGGCAAAGATGTTTAAAAAGAAAAGGGTACAATTTGGCAAATTTCAGGGAAATTAATGAGTAAATGAAGATGTCCAACTGTTCTGCAAGGTTATGTGAAATGTATATGCAAAGTTTTCAACATGTGCATACTATTTGGACCTAGATACCACTTCTCTACAGTTCTAAGGAAATCATTTAAAGGTTAATTATTTTAGCTATTTAGGATATTTACTGCAACATTGCTTAGAATTGCAAGAAAAGTCCTAGAAAGAGCTTCAGTGTATAGAACAATAAATGCTTAAATGTATAATATATAATGTATACAACAGCATACAGTAGGTCTCTTAACTGAACTGCACCTAACACATTCACACACTCCCAGGGCCCCATTGAGATGAATATGCAAAATGCTATACTGAAGAGCCCAGAGCAGCTCAGGATGGTAGCAAGTACAGCATGGGGAAACAAAAACTAATGCTAGCACACCTCCAGAGTGGTTGGATCTGTTCCCATGATGGTGCCAGAAGTGCTCGTTCATATGAACTGTGAGTCCAATAAATATTAAAATACAAAAACATTTTATGTGAGACAAGAATCCATCAAAATCCTAGAGAACACAGGCAACACCCTTTTTGAACTTGGCCACAGCAACTTCTTGCAAGATACATATATGAAGGCAAGGGAAACAAAAGCAAAAATGAATTATTGGGACTTCATCAAGATAAAAAGCTTCTGCACAGCAAAAGAAACAGTCCACAAAACTAAAAGACAACCTACAGAATGGGAGAAGATATTTGCAAATGACCTATCAGATAAAGGGCTAGTATCCAAGATCTATAAAGAACTTATTAAACTCAACAGCCAAGAAACAAACAATCCAATCATGAAATGGGCAAAAGACATGAAGAGAAATCTCACTAAAGAAGACATACACATGGCCAATAAGCACATGAGAAAATGCTCTGCATCACTTGCCATCAGGGAAATACAAATCAAAACCACAATGAGATACCACCTCACACCAGTGAGAATGGGGAAAATGAACAAGACAGGAAACAACAAATGTTGGAAAGGATGTGGAGAAAGGGGAACCCTCTTGCACTGTTGGTGAGAATGTGAACTGGTGCAGCCACTCTGGAAAACTGTGTGGAGGTTCCTCAAAGAGTTAAAAATAGAACTGCTCTACGACCCAGCAATTGCACTGCTGGGGATTTACCCCAAAGATACAGATGCAATGAAACGCCGGGACACCTGCACCCCAATGTTTATAGCAGCAGTGTCCACAATAGCCAAACTGTGGAAGGAGCCTTGGTGTCCATCGAAAGATGAATGGATAAAGAAGATGTGGTCTATGTATACAATGGAATATTCCTCAGCCATTAGAAACGACGAATACCCACCATTTGCTTCGACATGGATGAAACTGGAGGTTATTATGCCAAGTGAAGTAAGTTAATCAGAAAAGGACAATCATTATATGGTTTCACTCAAACGGGGAATATAAAAAATAGTGAAAAGGATTATAGAGGAAAGGAGAGAAAATGAGTGGGAAAAATCAGAAAAGGTGACAAAACATGAGAGACTCCCAACTCTGGGAAACGAACAAGGGGTAGTGGAAAGGGAGGCGGGCAGGGGGATGGGGTGACTGGGTGATAGGCACGGGGGGGGGCACTTGACGGGATGAGCACTGGGTGTTACGCTGTATGTTGGCAAATCGAACTCCAATAAAAATTATACAAAAAATAATAATATATGAAAACATTTTAAAGATTTATTTATGTTAGAGAGCATGTGTGTGAACAGGGGAGGGGCAGAGGGAGAGAGAATCCCAAGCAGATTCCCTGCTGAGTGCAGACCCTGCCATGGGGCTCCATCTCACAACTCTGAGATCAAGACCTGATCTGAAATGAAGAGTTGGGATGCTTAACCAACTGAGCCACTCAGGTGCCCCAGTATGAATTTAAAAAAAATTCTAGCTTATTCTGTGACAGAATCAAGTTTGTGATCACTGATCTAGAACTCACACTAAAGATTGCTTCCTTCTTAGGAGCACCTGTTCAGGGATGACTCTTCTGTACAGCCTGATTTTTTGTCTCTTCCAGATTCAACCAACCTTCTGTCCCATTAAGGAAGACACCATGTCTCGGCTCAGCTCATGGGAATACCTCCTCTTTTGTGTTCCTAGGTGACTCTGATACTGGACACAGCCTCTCTTGCTATATTCCCAGAAAGCAGGACAGGATACTGGTCAAGAATGCCCCGGCCCCACACCGCCTAGCTCTGAATGGGAGCACCATCACTTACTAGCTGTGGGACCATAAGCAAGTTACTTAACCTCTCTGCTTCAGTATCCTGAGTGATCTAAGCTGAGGGGGTTTCAAAACCTACATCTAAGGTTGGTGGAAGAAATAAATGAGGTAATATATGTCAAGTGCTTAGGACAGTGCCTTAGCACAGGGCAGGTGTTCAGGAAGCATAAGCAGTTGTTATTATTGCTGTTCCTGTGTTTGAATCAGATATATCCTGCCCAATCCCTAGCCAAGTGTGCTGCAGGGTTGTCCGGCGAATGAAAGAATAACATGTAGGCCTGTGTGTCCTCACCCAGGTCACCTCTGAACACCTCCTCTTAGCAGGGCTTTAGATCTAAATACCTTACCTTTTGCAGGATCCCTGCATTCCGACTTTTCATCTTCCCTCTGTTAACAACAAAAGCTGGGAAGCAGAGGGAGGCAAAACACAGAAGAATCAAGCAGGGCTGATGGGATTTAGACAACACAGGGGAACCACCACTAAGAGCAAGCTTAAGGAATGCCCTCCAAATACCTTGGCAGGAAACTGCACATGCAGACAGTTTGTGATAAGGGCAAGAAAAAAAATGTGTCCAACTACATCTAAAGGCATTCTGCCCTTGTTTCTTTTCTTTACCATAGAGGAGGCAACAGGGCAGATTCACAATTTCAATTGTCTTGAGAGTATTTATTGTGTAATAACCCCACCTCCCCATGCCCCACCCAGCTTCTCTCTGGTCCTGCTTTTCTGAGCATCCTAAAGGTTGAATACATTCTTCTCTACGGCGGATGAGAGTAAAGCTGAAGCCGGAACACGTGAGCAGGCCTCCATTAGGCACTATGTCATGACAGAGAGCTGCTCTGCTGCAAGCATGGCTTTCCTAGGGCGCCTCAGAGCAGTCCTTTCTCAGCTTAACCGGTACGCTCATGGAATTGAAATGCCGCTTCCCATCTAAATACAACATGGACTCTGAAACACAAAAGAAAGAACCATGAAGAAACCCGCAGAACCTTACAGAATCACTGTACAAACACAAGACTACTCAGGAGCATGAGGACAGCCACAAGCATGCAAAACTGGCACTCGGCCTGCCCTGCTGGGCCAGGGATGTGCAAGGCTCCCGACGGAATTGGCCTCAACTCTTGCCCCATTCCTTTGGCTGGACTAGTCTCTGACCACCAGTGGCTGCTGGCAGCTGGCACCGACTCTGCAGACAACAGACAGGTTCGGGCAGAGCAAGGACAGCCACCTGCAGGCCATGAGGCATCCAGGCCTTCAGGGCTGCAAACCCTCAAAAGCACAATCTTCTAAAGATATGCTCTAAAACCCCGAATATCGACGAACCATTTGGACTTCCTCTTGTGAAGTGTGTTATTACTTTTTTTCATACCCAGTATCCAAGATGCCTGCTTTTCCAATATCCTTTTATAGGCCACATTTGAACAACTTATTTCAGGTAAGGTAATGCTATCAAATGAGACATATTTGGGACAAGTTCTTTCCAAAATATAATCACAACTTACTTAAATTATCTTCTATGAATGTGATTATAAACTTCTTAAAAACAGGACAAGACTTTTTTATTTTATTTTTCACCTTCCAAAATAATCCCATGCTTTCAACACTGGAATTTCTCATGGTGGTTTGGGGGTTTTGTTGTGACTCAGTTTCCCTCAAGTATGTAAAGGCGATTTTTATCCTCTTCAATCTGTGTAACTGAATTCTGTTCTTTGTTATTTTGTATGTTATAGGCAAATTATTTCCCCAGCACAGGTTTTTTTTTTTCATTTCCCAGTTTCATTCATTTTATAAAAGTCACAGTGAGTTTTTCTTTATTTCTGAAGTCCCTGCTAAAATATATGGTTTGTTGGGGTTAAAAAAAAGATACACTCTTGAGCTAATAGGCATCAGTATACTTCCTATGACAATTTAAAAGAAAAAAATTTCTTTGAACATTCTTCCATTCATCAGGGACAAGCAGACACTGCTGCTTACCTCCATATGTTCTAGGGAAAACCAAGGGCACTTCTTTTTCCGACATGAATGTGAAATGAAAGACATTGGTGGTCATATGCTCTTTACTCTCAAGAGAGGCCACTTCACTATGTACTCTGACTTGAATGTAATTGTCCTTAGTAAAGCAAACCTAAGAGATTTAGATACAACAGTTAGTCAAGAGCATTGAAAAGGGAAGAAAAGGCAGTCATAAGAGAAATAGTGACTTTAGGGGAAAAAAAAAGACTTCTCGTCCAGGCCCAAATGATAGAAAATTGTATTTCATCTCTCATCACGCACCTACCTGTGAAGAAAGGAACAGCAATGATCCAACCTCTACAGGCTTCTGAAACATGATATCATCCACCGCTACAACAAACGGTCGGGAGCCACTAATGGGCAAAGACAGAATATGGGTCAACCACAAAATTCAGATGATCTCTACTTCTCCCCTAACAATCAGCTGAAGCAAAATTTAAATAATCAAAGAATAAACTTACGGAAGGAGGGAAGGAAGACCAGTGAGAAATGGTAAGCAATGCCCCTGAGACCAGATCACCACTCTATCTTTTCCCTCCCGCATATCATCACCTCTTCTCAGTAGGTCTTTAATGTACTGACAGAGGCAGCACTACAGCCTTTGGAAAAGTAAGCTCAAAGGTAGGTGGTATCACTAAAATAATTATCTAAAAACAGAGCCTATGCCCCAATACATCCAGACTGGTCCAAAATGTTCCATTTGGTTCAATGGGGTAGTACAAGCTGCTTCTCAGAAGTTAAAACCACCTTCACTCTGACTCACCCAAAGTTACAAGCAGTAGCCCATCCAAGTTCATATGCTTTCCTCATAAGGAAACCACCAAAGATCCGATTAAAAATGTTGCGCTCCTATAGGATATAAAGTAATTATTAACAAATACAAGCTCCCAGCCACCCTCATATACAGAAGAAAGTAATCAGCACTGCTGCAGAAAGGAGGTGAGTTTAAAGGTATGTCAAATTTTACACAAGAACCACGAATGCGAGTTATCCTATTTAAAAGAGTTTTCAGGGATCCCTGGGTGGCACAGCGGTTTAGCGCCTGCCTTTGGCCCAGGGCGTGATCCTGGAGACCTGGGATCGAATCCCACGTCAGGCTCCCGGTGCATGGAGCCTGCTTCTCCCTCTGCCTATGTCTCTGCCTCTCTCTGTGTGTGTGTGTGTGTGTGTGTGTGTGTGTGACTATCATAAATAAATAAAAAATTTAAAAAAATAAAAAATAAAAAGATAAAAGATTTTTCATTAACTTAAAATACCTGAGGGTGGCACACTTCCAAGCTCTTCAGTTTTGAATTCTCCATCCACACTGCATTAGGGGGCAAAATTCGACTTCGAAAACTTACGGTCCTGTACAAATGGAGATTTAGTAAAACCTGTGAATGCTATGGCTTTACTGTTGAAAAGTAAAATATTTGCAAACAACTCCCAGTATGTGAGGCACACGTAACTCTGGAGAGGGCCAAGGTTGAAATGCTTTCATAACCTACAATCTCACCCTGCTGACTTACTTCGGATCCAGCGTGTTTAGAAACATCTCATGTATGGTAGTCCTCTCCTCAGCACTGGGAGCCATTTTCAGTAATGACGTGGCACTGAAGGTCACCCTTCTCCCCTTGTTCACTGGAACACAGGGCAATAAGGAGCTACAGTCAGGAAGGTCATACCTCAGCACTGGGGTTCCTGACCTGGGCTGCCAGGGACCCTACAGAGGCAGCATTTCCAGGTTTTAAAAAGCCCATGGGAAATTAAACATCTATCCCAGAGGAGGCTGCCAAGGCTACATAAGGTATTCTTTCAGAGATTCTTCGCTTCCAGATGGAAATTATACTGGCTCAGGGGGGCCAGGAGTTATTTCACTGATAAGCTCCCATTTGATTAAAAATAAGAATGCAAATCATTTCACTTGATGAATACTATCTAATTGATAAAATTGTTCAAACTATGGACTCTGGGGAGAAAAATAAGTATTTTTAATTTCAATAAATTCTTGTCCTGAGTAAGACACATGACCGGTATGAGGAGACCATACATACTCTTACATAACCTACTCTGCAGTACAGTTAATGTGCTTTTTAAACTGTATCTTATTATAAACAAATTAATATACATTCTCCTTGTCTAAAGAGCTCTTCTTCCTCTGGGCTTTCAGGGATGAGTGGATTTACAAATGCCGGCCTAAAAAGAAGAAAAGAAAAGATTACAGTTTAAGACGTGTCATTACCTAGCAAATATGGAAGGTGAACAATTACCCACTAGTTTCAAGTAGTCTTTGCTATTGGTCTTGTTAATGCTGCCTGACCGCTTCCCATAATAACCCTAGAACAACTGAGGGGCTTTCTGGTTACGGATCAGTCTGTACACTAGAAAGTTCACATTTATAAAAAGAATACTGCCTCACATCAAAAAATTTCACCTGATGCAGTAATGAGGAAATAGTCAAAGACAGGCTGCAGAACATTCTCCAGGATAATTGGCCTGGACTCTTCAAAAAAAGTCAACATATTAAAAGAAAGAAAATAGCAAGGGACTCTTTAAAAAAAAAAACATGATAACTACATGCGATACAAGATCCTTGATCAGATCCTGACTCAGATGGAAGGGCTATAAAAGACATTTTAAGGACAACTGGCAAAGTTTGAATATACATCGTATATTACATAATATCACTATATCACTCAAATTTCTTGGATATAATAAAGGCATCCAGGTTGTGTAGCAGAATGACTTTATTATCAGAAGATACATGCTGAACAAAAAGCATAAAGCTAAATAAGTTAAAACCTATACAGTTCAATCTGCCTTGGAATTGATGGTATAAACTCATGAGGTTGTATGTTCGTTGTTTTTTAACATACATCCTAGCTCTGTCCACCAAAAAGCCTTAGAGACAATGATAAATGAGTAACAACATATACTTCTAGGGTTCAGATTCTGGTCTCTAAATACCAGTGCTCACTGAGAGGAACCCCAGGATTCCTTGGAGAAACGGCTGGTTTCAGGCCTGAGGCAGGAAAAGTATAAGATGACCCCAAGACATCCCCTTGTACCAGAGAACAGGAAGACTAGTAGAGAAATGTGAAAAGAGCTTTTTTACAGGAGCAAGCTGAAAGCTGCCCCCGCTGCCCAAAGATGGCTGCAATTTACTGAAATAGACAATTAAAATCCATGAATTCACAATGATACCTTTTTAAAAAGCCAAAAAGTAGAAAAACCATGTCATTGCTAGCTAGTAAAGCAACTCATTATTCAGAAAATGTGTAAATAAAAGGCAAGAATGAAACATTAATCCCAACTTTCCTTTACAAACTAAATTACCCTAGCTAAGAAAGGAAAGCTCTTCTTTCCAGAACTCTAGGTAGTAAACATAGAAGGAAAGGCAGGAGAGAATCATTTACATACCTTAATGATTAAAGCAATGATCAGCAATGAACATTTAAAGCACTGGAGAAAGACTGATGGGAGCTAGCTATCCACAGGGTGAAAGCATATACTCTGGATGTATCCTGTACTATACTGCACCCTGCACATTATTGCTGAGTGTAAGAGGATAAAGTGAACCCTACAATGAAAAGATCAGTTTGGTCACTACTGAACCACCACACACCAATCTTGGCATCACTATGAGTGGGACAATCTGTACCTCCTGATATGATACAACAATTTGAGATACACAGATCTCATCACCTACAAAGTGCTCTCATCAAATATGCTGAACCTGAATCTAATCAAGGCTTTAGCTGTAACTTCAGTTTATAGAAAATACTAGAGATAGAGAAACAATTAAAAAAAAACATGAGGAAGCAACAAGACAAATCTATAAAGTTGGACACTGTACAGAAAAGCCCATCTGGCCTTTCAACAAGTTTATATGAAACACTAAGGGGGCAGTGGGGACACACAACTATTCTAGATTAAAAAGCCCTAAGAGATACAGTTCTGTGAATACACTAAAAGTCATTAAATTGTACACTTTCAATAGGTGAATTGTATGGATGTGAATTATATCTCATAAAGCTATTAACAAAAATGACAGGATTAAGAGACATAAAAATCAAATGTAGTATGTGAACTTTGGATTGTGACTTGAACAGATCATTAAATGATATCTGGAGAAAAGTGAATACGAATTGATCATGAGACTATATTATGGACTTACTATTATTTTTATTAGGCATGCTAATGGTAATGTCTTTATTTAGGAAAATATCTTCATTTTTAAAGAGATGCCTACACTTAAGTATTCAGAGACGAAAGGTCATCATGTCTGGGATTTACTTTAAAATAAAGAAAACAATATACCTTGAAAAAACAGATGAAGCAAATATGGCAAAAATGTTAAAAATTCTAAGTCTAGGTGATGGATACATGGAAATTCGTAATAGTCTTCTCTCTAGTTTTATGTATCTCTGAAATCTTTTAAAATGAAGAATTAGGAAAGAAAGAGCAATTACCCTTTATTTTCAGAATCACGAGCCACCATTACAAATGTTGCATCCAAAACAGGACAAAATTCATTGCCATGTAACTAAAGAACAATGGAAAGAAAATACAGATGTAAGAAATGCATTTACTGCAAAGACCTACCACAATTCTAACAGCATGCACCCTTTGAAAAAGGCTACAATTAGAAAAAGAAAAGTGCATTTGGTAACCTCTGTCTGCTGAGTTGCCAGGCACAGAAATAAGCTCTGGATGAGAAGGGCAGCATGACCAAAGAGCCTATGGTCTGGGAGAAGAGAAAGATCTCCCAAAATTCAAACAGCAGACTATGTGAGAAGGGCTGGGATGGACACTACCAAAGGGCTTTGGAACCGCGTGTCACTGAAATCAAGGGCAAGGGTCACAGAGGGACCCTTGGCATCAGCAGCATTTAACTGTCCAGCAGCGCGTGGGATCCTGGCTTTCTGCAGGCCTACCTGCCCTTGCAGTGGCACACAGAGCCAGGTGAATGGCCCACTGCACTCACAGACATTAGTATTTGCAGGGTGCCAACTACCAGCACAGGTTTCAGTTTCCTTAGCTGAGCGCGGGGGCTCCTGCGAAGCAGGGAGGATCAGTGATAATTCTGTGGATTGAGTGACATATTTACAATGCCCAAGCCTTTGAGGTTTTAAGGTATTTCTTTATCATCTAGGAATCTGTACTTCCAGGGAAGTTATATCATGAGGTCCTGTCATCAGCTGAGGGTACAGTAGGCTGGCTCGACAGACCTCACCCCTACTCCTCCTCACCGCTGCCTGTTCGGGCACCATCACCCTCTCCCCCTCAACCTTCTTCCCGCATCTGTTCTAAGTCTGCTGGCACCATATGTAGAAAGGCCTCCACAACACAGCCCAGATTCCTCTCTGGTTGTTCACCAAACAGCCCTCTCACACCTGCACCTTTTGCCCTAGCCGCAGCTGACAATTCGGAGGTTTTCGAACATACCATGCTACTGAACTCCTCCTGCCCATGTCTGTGTCTGATGCCTTCCTCAAAGCTGCTGTCCTCAAGACACTCCTCCCCACTCCTACCCCATTCCTCCTCTTCAGGCAGAGGTCATCATCCTCTCCTTGGTTTACCACTAGAATGGAAACAAAGTCCTCCCCTGAAAGTGGTTCTCAATGTAACAGAGATGGATACCACCCCTATAGGGAGCATTTGGATATGTGTAGAAGAGGTTTTGGTTGCCACATGACTTGAGGGACATCACTAGCAGGGCAGGGGTAACCAAGGAGCTAAACATCTCACAACACAGGGGATTGTCCTGCATAACTAAGAACCTTCCTACATACAATGTCAATAGTGTCCCTACTGAGAAATGCTGCATAATGCTTAATATTCTACAGATCTCAGGACTCCTGGGTAGCATTTGTCTTCAGCTCAGGTCATGATCCCAGGGTCCCAAGATCGAGTCCCACATCGGGCTCCCCATGGGGAGCCCGCTTCTCACTCTGCCTATGTCTCTGCCTCTGTGTGTGTGTGTCTCTCATAAATAAATAAATTCTTTAAAAATATATATACTACACATCCCCCTCAACTTATATCCCAACAAACCCATCATAAATTAAAAATATCATTAGGTTGAAATGCATTTAATACATGTAACTAAGAGAGCATCACAGCTTAGCCTAGCTTACCCTAAGCACACTCAAGAACACTTACATTAGCCCACAGTTGGGCAAAATCATCTTATACAAAGCCTATTTTATAGCAAAGTGTTGAAATATCTCAAGTAATTTACTGAATATTCTTCTCAGAGTAAAAGCAGAATGGCTGAATGAGGACAGGACGGCTGCAAGTGTATCAGTCATCTACCTTCATGATCACACGGCTGCCTGGGAGCTGCAGCTCGCTGCTGCTGTTGTACTATGTATCACCAGGCCAGGAAGAGATCAAAATTCAAACTTCAAAGTACAGTTTCTACTGAAAGCTCTTTCAAGGCATCGTCAAGCTGAAAAAACATGAATCAAACCATCCTAAGTTGGGGACCTTATGTAAATCATAGTCACTTATTTATGTGGCTGTCTCCCTATTGTAGCATGTGCTCCTTGAGGACAGAGACCCTTTTATTCACACTTGCATCCCTTTATGCATAGCACAAAGACTGGCAGATGGCACATACACAATCAGTATGAATTAAGGCAGAAAATGACTGAGCACTACTAGAATGTGAACTCTAAGAGAATCAAACTTTGGGGTTTCTTAAAAGATTTTATTTATTTATTCATGAGAGACACAGAGAGGCAGAGACACAGGCAGAGGGAGAAGCAGGCTACCCACGGGAAGCCTGATGCAGGACCCAATCCCAGGACCCCAGGATCACGCCCTTAGCTGAAGGCAGACGCTCAAATGCTGAGCCACCCAGGCATCTCGAGAATGAAACTTTGTTTAGCTCACTACTGCATACCTGGCACAGCACAGGCACTCAATAAACAATGGCTAAGTCAATGATAAATGAATGGATGTGAGGAAGTGAGCCAGGTGACTCACATCCAGATGTTGTCATTAAGACTCATACAGTTTGGTAGAAGAGAAAAAGATGTGTTCATACACAGCTTGGTGCAGAAGAGATTCGCCGGTGCCAGGAGAAAGGTCAGGGAAAGGGTACTGAGGAAGGAGTCATAGGGAAGGAATAGGTGCTATGAGCTGAAAGCATCCAAGCATGAGGTGATCTGGAAATACAGGTGGAATGTGGATGGTGGAGCCAGAGCATGACAATCTCAGGCAAAGAAAAAAGCATAAGCAATGATACTCATCCAACTCACTGTTTAAATTATGGTTTATTATAATGAACACCTACTAGCACCAAGCATCAAGAATGCAAAACTGAACAACTCTCTACTCTTAGAATGTTCAAAATGCCCAGCAGCAAGCTCTAGGAAGGTATATAAATGTTAAATTCGTGGGAATATGGTTGGAAAGCTGAGTGGGAGGTAGTTTATGGAGCACCTTGGATCCTAACTAGTCAAAAGAAGTTAGACTGTAAGGCACACCTAACAGTCATAGAAGGTTTTTTGAGATGCAAAGCAGTGTGATTTAAAATCGGCTTTGGAGGATCCCTCGGTGGCTCAGCAGTTTGGCGCCTGCCTTTGGCCCAGGGAGTGATCCTGGAATTCCAAGATCAATTCCCACGGTTGGGCTCCCTGCATGGAGCCTGCTTCTCCCTCTGCCTGTGTCTCTGCCTCTCTCTCTCTCTCTCTCTCTCTCTCTCTCTCTCTCTCTCATAAATAAATAAATAAATAAATAAATAAATAAATAAATAAATAAATAAATAAATAAATGAAGTCTTTTAAAAAAATAAGATCAGCTTTGGAAGACCTAGCTGGTAAAAATCTGTACAGTTAACAGAGAGGCAACAGACTAGAGGCAGGCAGGCTAACTAAGACAGTTCAGGTACTCACACAGGAGGCAGTAAGGCCTTGAGTGAAATACATGGGCCCAGGAGAAGGGGAAGAAAGAACTCTGATGAGTTGTATGGGTGATGAATTTGCAAGACTTGGCAGAAGGCTGCATAGGGCAAAATTAAAGCTATCACAAAGGGTTGGGGCTGGGGAGACAAAAGGGAAAATGAAGGAGGATCAGGACTGGAAAGGAAACCGACGGACTCAGTTTGTAACACACTGCATTTGAGGTAGCAAAAAGCACATGCAGGGGGAGAGAGATAACAGGTGCCCCTAAGGTAGGTCTGAATGTCAGTCCCAGAAAAGATTTGGGGCCATCTCCATAGTGATGCTAATATATCAACATTATTGCCAACGTGTGATTAGTGGTCACTGTGTGACAGGCAATTATACCAAGTAATTAAAATGGTTGGGTTGTTTCTTCATTCACCCTTAGCAAACAATATAATGTGGTACTATTACTGCTTTCATGTTACACTTGAGACAACAGAAGCTCAGAGAAGGTAAGTAATTTACCCACAGTTGCATGGCTAATTAGCAGCTGAGTTGGGATGCGAACCTACAGGTACCCAAAGCAAAGGCAAAGCACCTACCACCAAGCTTCCTGTCTGGAATAGAAAGGATCACTCAAGTCTTAAGTTATTAGTCAAAATGACCAATGAGAAACACAAACTTAAAACAGACATTTGTTCCTGCCTGGCATTAATTTTCATTCTCTCTCCTCGCAATAACTCCTGTATCTCTTTTCAACCTATTGGGCCAAGATTCAAATAACCGAGAATCCCCAGAACAGGTCCTACAGCAGGAATCTGGCAGGGCAGGAATCAACCATGAAGGTGGCTCAGTCGACTAAGTGTCCAACTCTTGGTTTCGGCTCAGGTCATGATCTCAGGGTCCTGGGATTGAGCCCGGCAGCTCCCCACTCAGCAGGGAATCTGCTTGAGGTTTCCCCCTCTTCTTCTACCTCTCCCTCCACTCGCTTTCTCTTTTTCCCTCTCTCTCTCTAATAAATAAATACATAAATCTAAAGAAAAAAAATCACCCACCATCTGCATGACATGAACTTTCAATTGTTTCTCTATAAGTGGTGAGCTATAGACTTGTCTATTGATACATAGGTAACTGCGCTTTTCACTGGGCCTGGCTGGTTGTACTGGAATAAGCAGTCAATCTTTAGATAAATACACACCTGAAACATTTGCATCTTCACTTCCATGGATGTCTTCCCAACCCAGCTAACATGGCCACTGAACTTAATGTCCTGTTCTGGGCTTAAGCTCGTCTTACACATATCTGCAAGACAGAAAATCAATCTGAGTTCAAATGACACCAATTCCACATTTCCTTTTTTCTTTTTTACAGTCTTCAAAACTAAAAACAATTTTTGACATACAAAAAAATCATATGCCTTTTGGAAAACTATAGACAATGCAAAGAATATAAAAAATAAAACTGGAATCATGAAAAACCCTTCCACTCAAAGATTATAATAAATATGTATCTTGGTACATAGCACTCTAGAATTTTCATACATATATATACACATAAAAATTCCCATAAAAGGAAAAGATTTCCTCTAATTTCAATAATCTCCTATAGGGCAGCCCCGGTGGCGCAGCGGTTTAGTGCTGCCTGCAGCCCGGGGCGTGATCTGGAGACCCTGGATTGAGTCCCACGTCAGGCTCTCTGCATGGAGCCTGCTTCTCCCTCTGCCTGTGTCTCTCTCTCTCTCTCTCTCTCTCTCTCTCTCTGCATCTCTATGAATAAATAAAATCTTTAAAAAAATAATCTCCTATAATTACTAAGAATGCTAATTATTCATAGAAAATAATATTGCTTACCAATCTTGTCCACCAGGGCTGTAACTATTGACAAAGGAGACATCTTAGCTGCATGAACTCTGGTGTGCATGTAGCAAATAAGAACTGTAAGGAAAGCGAAGAGCACCAAATGAAGGAAAAGCAAAATTATTTCCCAACATTTACAACCAACTCTCTGCAATTATCTGAAGACCCAACCCCCCAGATCCCACCAGCAGTCTTTTCTGATAACCAAAGACTTTTATATTTTATACATTGAAGATATTTGAGGATTCTCTAATCTGACCGCCTACTCAATTTTAGATTTGGTAAAGAAATCAAAGCTCAAAACCAGCAGGCGTCCTGTCACCACTACACAGAGACACACACAGTGCCTCAACTAGAAAAAGACTCCAGCCCATGAGTCTGACAGCACTGAAGATCTTCAGAAAAGAGAAACAAATCACAGGGACTCAGCAATCTATTTTCCTTGACTCTTCCTTAATCATAAAACAATTACTTAACTGAAGTCATTCCTCCTTCCCAAATAACAGATTTGACTCTTACACCACCTTGTGGCTATCTATATACTTTCCATATTTTAATCAGCTAAGCGTGCAGCTATGCATCTTACAAATAACAAGTCATTTAAAGATGTATTATACTCCTGTGTTTAGAAGCCTCACTGCTTCTCCATGAGTCATTCAAACTTGTATCATCAGCCCTCGGGACCAGGGTCTGTACCCAATATTACTTACGTGACAATAAATCCTTCCATCCATGCACCTGCTAAAGGATGCACTGGGGGAATGAGAGGCTAAAGGCAAGCAGGTCCATTTAAAAGTCTCTGTGGTACCCATAAAATACATCACATGTGGCTAACCTATGGTAGCCACTCGAGGAAATGAAAGGATCAAATTAAGAAGAAGGTGCACTTGACAGCATTTTAATAAACCCAGGTCTCTAGCTTGCCTGAGTGAAGATGGTACACCATTCACTGAAAAAGAGAATACAAGAAAGCACAATGGACTGCTTTCAACATGTTAAATTTGAGAAGCCTATAACATTTCCAAATGAAAATGTCTGGTAGGCAGGATGACAAATTGGTCTGGAACTAAGAAAAGCAGAAATATAGCTTCCTAAAGATTCCACATACTGATAATAAGTGAAGAAATGATACTGAATGAGAGTATTTAGAGTGTATAGATAAGCAAAAAAGGGTAGAAGACAAAACCCTGGGGATAACCAACATTCAAACGGTGCTGGACGCTAAAGAGGGCACGTGATGGAATGAGCACTTGGCGTTATAGAAGACTGATGAATCATTGATCTCTACCTCTGAAACCAAGAATATATTATACGTTAACTAATTGAATTTAAATTAAAAAATTCTTCATAGATCACTAGGCAAAGAGGAGCCTACACAAGAGACTGGGAAGGAAGAGTCAGAGAGGCAGGAGGAAATATCACCAAAGCATAAGGATGAGTTTAACAACATTGTAAACTTGGAAAAGCATCCATCAGGGGCACCTGGATAGCTCAGTCAGTTAAGCGTCTGCCTCCAGCTCAGGTCATGATCCCAGAGACCCAGGATCAAGCCCCACATCTGACTCCCTGCTCAGTGGGGAGCCTGCTTCTCCCTCTCCCTCTGCCTCTTCTCCCCAATAGTGTTCTCTATCTCAGATTTTAAAAATCTTTTTAAAAAGGAAAAGCATCTATTAGATCATGAAATAAAGGGGCTGATGGAGATCTTGGCAAGAGCAGTTCAATAGCAGGAGGAGGAGCAGAATCCAGAACATATGAGATTTAGAGGTAAATAGGAGGTTAAGGTATAGAGGAAATAAGAGCAAATGACTTTTTTCAACTCGTTCCAGAAAGTTAGCTCTGAAGTGAGGGAGAAAGTTCAATAGTGTTGTGAGGGAAGGGGATTTTACCTACTTTTCATTCTGAGATGGAAGAGCCTTTAACATGTTTGTAATAAGCTGAAGGAAATGTGAAGTTGAGAAAAGGCTTGAGATACTAGCAAGAAAGCACAGGTGATAAGGCAAGTTCCTAGAAGAACTGGAAAGAACAGAATCAAGTGAACAGGTGAAATGGATGGCCATCAACAGGAGTCAATGAGGAAAAAACAGGGTAGTGGCAAGGGAGTTTGTGGATTTAGGGACACCTAAGTAAACCAAAGTCAAGAGTGTATGTGTGCGTGTGCGTTGTTTTTTTTTTAAAGGTCAGTAAGACTGTTTAACCAAGTTTATTTTTTAAAAGATTTTATTTATTTATTTAAGAGAGAGAGCGAGAGTAAGCGAGCAATAGAGAACATGAGTGGGGGTGGAGAGTGGCAGCAGGAGAGGGAGAAGCAGGCTCCCGGCTGAACAGGGAACCTGATGCTGGGTTAGATCCTGGGACCCTGGGATCATGATCGGAGCCACCCAGGTGCCCCTAACCAAGTTTATTTAATCTTTTTAAAAAGATTTTATTTATTCATGAGAGACACACAGAAAGAGGCAGAGACACAGGCAGAGAGAGAAGCAGGCTCCCTGCAGGGAGCCCAATGTGGAACTCAATCCCAAGACCCTGGCATCATAACCTGAGCTGAAGGCAGATGCTCAACCACTGAGTCACACGGGCACCCCAGTTTATTTAATCTGAAGAAACACAAAGCTGGGTGTTAAGCCTAACAACTGACTTATGTCTATATTGTAGAAGTCATTAGAGCTAAGCCCTTTCCCAACAGTTCAAAAAGTCATTAGTAAGAGTAAGCAAGGTAGCCCAGAGTGGGATGCTAAAGGCCAATTGGAATCAGGACATAAAGAGAGGAGACAACAAGATAATGGCCCAGCATGTTGCAGACTGAGCAAAAGGAGGAGAGTGACCCTGCAGAGGGGGACGTGGTACAAATCCCAGTGAGATGAGGGGAGCATCCATGAGGGGACAGAGGTGGCAAAGATATGAAATTGGCTACATACAGAGGAAACTGGAGAAATAAGTATATGGATTTAAGATAATGGAACCAGCTGGAAAAGGGAATTACAAATATGAAAAGGGAAGAAGAAATGAATGAACTTGTGGTGCTGAACCAAAATTGGAACGGTCAGTGTGAACTCATTGTTTTCATCGATGGATAAACAGACAGACATGTAAATGTATGTGCATAGATTCCCCAACTTGTCCACTGAAAGGGCACAGGAGCAGTGACACCCCAGCAGCAGTGACCACTCCCAGCACTGGTATCTTGGCTTCTAATTACCATTCTCCATCAGAAAGAACCAGAGGTCCTTGGAGATTTGGTTGATTTCAGGACTGAGGCAGGGAAAGTACAAATGAGCCTAGAACATCTTACTGTGTAAGAAAGCGAAGAAGTGCTCAAAGAATGATGGGGACCCATCAAAAAAACACAAGCCCACCTGAACGGACTGGGACAGTCCCAGCACAATCTGAGCACCAGAAGAGATGACAGCAACATATTATAATCCATTCAATAAAAAAGGAATCCAGGCAGCCCGAGTGGCTCAGTGGTTTAGCACTGCCTTCAGCCCAGGGCGTGATTCTGGAGACCTGGGATCCAGTCCCACATCGGGCGCCCTGCGTGGAGCCTGCTTCTCCCTCTGCCTGTGTCTGTCTGTCTGTCTGTCTCTCTCTCTCATGAATAAATAAATAAAATAAATTAAAAAACAAAAAAATAAAAAAGGAATCCTTGAGTCTATACTGATTTTAAAGTAATAAATTGGAGGTCTGATGAGAAATGGAATGTTTATAAGGTCTGCCTACAAGTTACTTATTAATTACAAAGGAGGAAAGAGTAAGTTTACAGTGAAGAAGCCTGGCAGACACCACCTTCATCAGGGGATTAAAGTTAACATTCCAGTAATGGGACAAATGAGAATTATGCACCAGTTGACGAGATGCAATGAGAACACATCATAATTTCTGTGATGTCCCTGCCAAAGATGTATGCCCCAAATCTAATCTTGGGGAAGTATCAAATAAAACCAAATTTAGAGAAAGTTCCAAAAAAGAACTGGCCTATAATCTTCAAAAGTATCAAGGTCATGAAAGAGAAACACCAAGGAGCTATTCCTGACACAACAACTAAATGCAACATGTGATTCAGAACTGGACCCCTTCTGCTACAAAGGACCAGTGGTGAAAGCTGAATGGGGTCTGAGGATTAAACAATCTAAAGTATCAGGGTTAATTTCCTGATTCCAATGGTTGTATTGTGGTTATGGAGGAGAATGTCCTTGTTTGTAGGAAATTTTTTTAAAGATTTTATTTATTTATTCATGAGAGACACGGAGAGAGAGTGGCAGAGACATAGGCAGAGGGAGAAGCAGGCTCCATGCATGAGCCTGATGTGGGACTTGATCTGGGGACTCCAGGATCACTCCCTGAGCCGAAGGCAGCCGCTTAACCACTGAGTCATCCAGGCATCCCGTTTGTAGGAAATATTAATGAAAACAATTGGGGATGATGTACATCACATTGGCAACATATTCTCTCACATGATTCAGAGAAGAACAATTCTTTGTACTGTACTAGCAACTTTTCCATAAATTTAAGACTTTTTGAAAAGCTATTAGAAAGGATTAATGAGATTACAATTGTTAAACAGGAATCTACATTTTCAGGAAAAAAATGATGACAATTCAGAAGTAATAGAGGCCCTTCTTTTGCTCTTTTACAATATCCTCATCTGTGCAACTTGAAGAATTTAAAAGGCCCCCTCCAGCCAAAGAATTCAATGTATAGCTGTAAATATTTATTTAGAAATATTAAATACCAGTACCTCCTAAGCTGTCAAGGTCCTCAAGAATCCTGCCAAATCTGTGAAATAAAGAAAACTGTGATTAAATGAAAATCACGATGATCATCTCTTAAAAATGAAGAACATAGTTTGGGTGGATGAAAGGTTCTTAAGTTGAATGTGGTGATGGTTGCATGACTTACAAATATACTAAAAACCACAGAACTGCACACTTTACATAGCTGAATAGTATGGTGTGTGAATTACATCTACATCTCAAAGTCATAGTAATGAAAGAAAATAAAATAAAAACAAATGACACAAACAAAAAGAGTGCTGTGTTACCTTATGGTGTTTTGAACAGTCAAATACTTCTCTCGTAATTCAGGCTGACTCCCCAAAGGCAAGAGAACCTCAATATAACTGTCTTTCATTCTCCTGGGTGGTAGTCCTTCCTGCGACTTAGCCAAAAAACTCTGAAGTAATTTTCTTTCCTCCATTGCTTTCATATGGTCTCTGAGAAGAAAGGATGAAAGCTTCATGAATGAAACACAGAGGCAGTGCTATCCCACAAGACAGTGACAATCAGGCAAGTTAGACCCCATCAAAGGAGGAATATGAAGGTCTGGATCTACCTCATTTTCTCTTCCTTCCCTCCCTCTCCACCTGGCTCTCAGTGTAATTAAAATTTTTCTATTAAAATGCCTTGCGGGGCGCCTGGGTAGCTCAGGTGGTTAAGCATCTGCCTTCAGCTCAGGTCACGATCCCAGGATCAAGCCCCACATCAGCTCCCTGCTCAGAGGGGAGTCTGCTTCTCCTTCTCCCTCTGCCCATCCCCCTCCCACCTTGTTCATGCTTTCTCTGTCACTCTCTCAAATAAATAAATAAAATCTTGTTAAATAAATAAATAAATAAAATGCCTTGCACTTGTAGATTAAAAAAAAACATAAGTGATAGAGATAAACCCAAACAAACCATATGTTCACCCTCATCAAAAAGTATATTAAAAAATAGAATACCTGACATCAAATGAAAAATGTAGTGATGGATACAAACACATCTATGGGCTAAAGAAAGTGGCCACTGAACTCCATATTTCCATCTCTCACCTTGACAATTCTTGCATTCTCTGTGTGTACCCTAGCTCTGTCTCTCTCTCTGCCTTCAATTTTAGGAAAGAGAGACAGAGGACGAAAAATGGAGTATATCCAAAAGAAGTATGGAAGGCAGAGCAAAAGGTAAAGAGGAGGAGATCTTGAGGCGAACTTGGAAAGGAGATGGGAAGGGAAAAAGAAGATGAGACGATTAAAGTGGAAGAGAAGAGAGAGAGGGACACATGGGTGGCTCAGCGGTTGAGCGCTGCCTTCGGCTCAGGGCATGATCCCAGGATCTGGGATCAAGTCCTGAATCAGGGTCCTTGTGGGGAGCCTGTTTCTCCTTCTGCCTATGTCTCTGCCTTTCTCTGTGTGCCTCTCATGAATAAATAAATAAAATCTTTTTTAAAAAAAAGAAGAGAGAGACAAGGGGATAAGAAACTAAAATGTTGACAACATCATTAATTCAGATGTCTAAGCTTCACTTGCAAAGTATTATTGCCAAAAAGGTTTAGTTTAATATAGGGGGTAGAGGAACAAGTTAAATGGTACCAGGTAAATCCTAAATATGGAACATTCTACATGACAAATAGCTTGGCCTCTTTAAAGTCAAGCTGGTAAGAAAAAAAAAACAGGGAGGAGAATGGTCTGCTATTCTAGATTAGAGGAGACCAAAGAGTCTTAAACACTAAAGGCAATATACAATCTTTTATTGGATCTCGGTATTTTTGTAAAAAGCTGTAAGAAACATTTGGGAAACAGTTGAGAAATTCTGAATAGATGAGTAATATAATATTAGGGGATTATTGTCAATTTCATCATGTAACAGAATATCTTGTTTGTTAGATACACAATTGCAGATTTTGTTATAAAAGAGAATATATTTATTTATTGGAGATATATGCTGAAGCTGCATAATACCTATAATTCACTAAGAAATAGTCAAGCCAATATATGCAAATTGGCAAATCTGGAAAAACCTCAATATCCAATCAAGATGGTAGGGACATAGGTATTCACTTTTTCTACTTTTTGGCAAATTGAAAATTTTCATATAAGCCGTTAAAAAGAAGTCATTAGATAATTTCTATACCAATAATAGATTATTGTATGCCTAATAATTGTTTTTTAAATCTCATTTTAGTCTCAAAATTCAGTGCACCAAGAAGGATATTACCCTATTTCACAGGGGGGAAATACTGAGAGACCGGGTTAACTGGGAACTGCTGTTAGCAAGAAGCAATAAAGGAATCAAGCTGCACAAAAAAGAAAAAACAAGAAACTTGGGTTTGAGTCCCAAACTCCGATACTCAATCTTTCAATCTTGAGTTTCAGTTTCATCATAGGTAAAAAAAAAAAGATAAGAATATATGCCATAAGCATGTCACAAGTTTTATTGAGAACCAGTGAGGTAATATACCTGAATATATTTCAAAAAATACAGAGTAGGTATAAATCACATTTTATGACAACAATGCACCAAATGATGAGTATGATGGCATGTTGGTCTTCTTCAAGTAAAAAACCCATTTCCAAACACAGGGCCCCCTCCATCCCTACAATGAGACCATCAGCTGAGCCTAAATACAGCCTAGCATAAGGGATGAAAGAATGAAGGACCACAAAGCATGCTTACCTCCAGTTTGTGGACACTCCTACTATCTCCCGCAACTTATCACGAACTGAAAGAAAAATAAAGAGGTCACTCCAAGAAACCAAGAAGTATCGGAAATGGATTATGGCAATGAGTCAAGAACCATGAAAAGCAATTCATGCACTCAAAAGCTTTATTTTTTTTCCAAAAGCTTTAGAGATCCATTAATTTCCATTTAATGCCACAACAGAGAGCTCAGGGAAGAGATCAAGCCTCTGCTTCCTAAAACCTCCAAACAATTATTGTCTCCTTAGTGTAGAAAAGAATACTATTGTGCCAATCACTGGGATTTGCACACACAAACAAAAAAGGGTAACTTCAATTATTCATCAGGTGGGGCAGAATCAGAGTCCGTAGGAGTGCCCTTATGATGGAGATATCATGACCAAAAACGTCACCTAGCTTTTTATAGGCAGTAGTAAATCAGATTACTTAGTGCAGGGACTAACACTGATATCCAAGTCTCATTCTAACTGATTTCTCATATATCTATACTACCCTGATTGTTAGAAAAGTTTAAGCCACAAAAAAAGAAGCAAAGATGTAAATCAAGGAAAAGCAAAGAAAGTAATTTAATTTTAGTTAATGCTCAAAAAGTGCAAGAATAAATTAATGCAAAAAAATTAAGCACTTAAGAAAAAGTTGATACTAATTACCACACACACCGTGATTCACATGTATAGGTGAACATGCTATATGGATAAAGGGAAAACAAATTAGATAACCAGTAGAAATTCAAGACTAAAAAATAAATCTATAGAATTTCACATAACACTGAGTTCACTTTTTTCTAGCATTTATATAGGATTTAGAAAATATATATTCCAGTTTATAAGAAATTAACTATAGAAATCCTTGGTCCTTCAATAACTAACGGATCAAAATGAAATATGGTTAGAGAAACATGCATTTTAATGAAAAACAGTTGATTTTTCTATCAAACAGTTGTTACACATAATAAATTTGGTACAAACTATAATTACAACTAAATCATAGGGGTGCCTGGGTGGCTCAGTCAGTTAAGTGTTCCACTCCTGGTTTCAGCTCAGGTCATGATCTCAGGGTTGTGAGATCGAGCCCTGCATCAGTCTTTGCGCTCAGCGTGGAGTCTGCTTGTGATTCTCTCCCTCTCCCTTTGCCCCTCCCCCTAATCGCTCACCCTCTCTCTAAAATAAAATAAATAAGTAAAATCTTTTAAAAAAACTAGATCATAAAGAACTGCAAAATCTACAGGCATACCTCACTTTATTGCACTTCATCTTACTGTGCTTCCGAGGTATGCCTCTAGTAACCACTAGTATATTGGACTTATTTCTTATCTTTATTCCCTCCTGAGTTCCTTGAATAAAAGAAAGGATATAAAGTACACAAAATGGTATACTCACTGATACTTGCTGATGTAAAATGATTATTACTAGTTTATTCAGTGTAAGAAGAAAGATGGGTACTGATGGCCAAGAAAAAAGTAAAAATTGTAATTACGCATATATAATACATGTGTACCTTTTCAAGAAACCACAATTTTAATTATAATGAATACTCTCAAATTGATATGAACATCTATAATTTGCATATCAGGCTAGTAACTGAAATTAATTTCAACTAAGCATGGATTAACAGCATGTCTCTAACAAAACTATAGATTAGGAGCATTTAGTTGCTACAAATGAAGGGCCCACCTTTTATCCAGCAGGTGTCTTTGTTCATGCTTTCCCCTTTAGTACCGATACAAAGAAGGTGTAAATCATTTAACTTGAAAGAGCTCCATCTCCCAGGCTCCAAAGCTCAAATTCTGAAAGTGGTTTCTACCCGAAGCTGATCTTTTTTTTTAAGATTTTATTTATTTATTCAGGAGAAACACAGAGAGAGAGAGGCAGAGACATGGGCAGAGGGAGAAGCAGGCTCCCCACAGGGAGCCTGATGTAGGACTCGATCCCAGGACTCCGGGATCACACCCTGAGCTGAACGCAGATGCTCAACCGCTGAGCCACCCAGGCGTCCCTTTACCAATCATTTTATAAATGAAAAGTTTATAAAAGATCCACCTTTAGTGTGTCTCATGTGCCTAAACTATCTATCTATGTGCCTCCCAAGTAAGACAGGGTTTTTCACCACGTGGGCCCAAAAGATAAACACTCATGCTTGCCTTCATGCATATGGAAGACTCTCTGTTTCTCTGGATTCTGGGATCCTTGAGTCAGTCCTCTGCCAGGAAGAAGCAGCTCCTTGTTCAAGGTACAAAGCCTACGAAACAAGATAAGACACACTAGAGTAGGTTCCATGGCTTCTTGGAAACCTCAAAGATTGGCCTCTCCTCCCAGAACACTCGGCCATCACACATCCTCAGTATACGCTTTTTTGTAAAGGTCTGTACCTGTTTCTCCAGTGTATATTTGTGTACGAGGTTATTCTATAAATCATCTCTCCAACTAGAGTAAACATTTCATGAGAGCAGAGACCAATTAGCTAACAATCTACAAAATAAGTAAAAGATATCAACCAGGTTTAATGGATTTACTCTTGCTTTTTTTATTAGCTTCAGAAGCCCAGAATCAATCTGGTAAACTATTGAGTAAATTAATTACAAACATTTATTATTAATTATGAACACTTATTTTGTTCTTTATTATCACGCCATAAGTTAAAGCCAATTATATCAATTTGCAAATAGAATTAACCATTTCCAAACTCAAAGACTGGGGCAGAAATTTCCTAATCCCCAAACAAAATAAAAGCTATTTACCCAAATGTGCCCAGCCTAGTCTGCCAAAATAAGTTGGTTTAGCTTACTGTTTAAATGTTGACTCCTAATCACTCACTATTGTATCAGGAATAACACACATATAATATCAGAAATTGACAAAGCAATCTACTGATGGCACAGCTGAAGAAAACACAGCACTGAAGAGGTTAAGAACCCCAAATACTGTTACTCATATTTAGTTCAAGTTATTAGTAAATTCTTACTATCTCGTGCTGGGACAAGTGAGAACTAACTCCCTCATCCCCCCCCCCAAAAAAAAAGTTTCTTCTTCTGTAAAATGGGGTAGTTATAGTAACTATCCTATAGGACTGTCATAAGAAGAAAGAAGTTCACATACACACAAGTACTCATGAATGCACACGCAGGCAAGTTGCTTTTTTTCACAATCTCAGGCTACTTCCCTTTTATACATGCGGCACTGAGGTGGAGGGAGCAGAAGAATGGTTTAATCACTACTCGACACCTCAGTACCTCAGGTATACTGGCTTCTTCCTGATAAGCTCTCGGAGTCTTACAGGAAAATTCTGAGGCCTTTAGAAGAAGCTGTCAAGAGGCTTTGGGATATTCAGGCCCTAGGACTCCATGATTGAACCTTTCCAATGAAAGAAGACTAAGGAGCCCAATCTCTTCATGGTTTGCCTAGGAAGTCACAGAAATCACCTAAGGTGTGAGCAGAAGTGTCTCAGCTCTGATCTGGATCCCAACCTTAGGGGAGGTGTCCAGGAAGAGTTTCCAGTACAGTAATAGGCAATGCCACTCACAGGCCCTCCACTCTGGGGAAATCCCTCAATTTAGAAACGGACAAATTCAGGTGACTCTTTTGTGAGTCTGGAACAAAAAAGAAACAAAAAAGATGGCCCACTAGTCAAATAACCTAATCATGTTGAACAGTCTGTATTCATTTATGAACTCTCTCTCTCTCTAAACCCTGGATAGGACTCACAAGAAAGGAATGCAGGTTTATGGGAGTTCAGGACAAAGAAAGAGACTTCCAAACTGGGGGAGAGGAGATCAAGAAAGGTTTCCTGGGAAAAGGTACATGGCAAGACCATGTAACTTTGTAGAAGGCCTTTCACATCATGTCCAATGTAAGCTAAAGCCAACTGTGGCCCTTCTTGTCATGACTTTCAACCTGTCTAAACAGTGTTAACAAATCTTTTATTTTTTCAGTGCTACATGAGAGAGAGACAGAGAACCTTTTTCAACTGGTAGCAGGACCCACAGGGACAGTGAGAGAGATCCAGGGCCCTCGAGAGAAATGATAGAGTTCAGGGTCAGTTGACACCAGTGTGGGCCAGCTATGGGAGTTGACCTTGTAGCGGGATGATTCCAAACGCTGGAACAGGGGTGAGGCCCTTGGGGTCCTGGCCAGATACAAAGAACCTGGGAACAGCTGGAGTGCTCAGGTGAAAGGGGCTGAGGGAGAGCCAGACCTGTCCTAGAGTCTAAGTCCCTAGGCCTTCAATGGGCAAGCTGGCATGGACACATAAAAAAAAGCATCCTCCTTGTCCAAGTAGCCTTATCAAGCCTCCCACCTCGCCCCCTTGCTGCTCATTAAACGTAAAATTTGGATCAGCACCAAAAGCCCTGGGCACACAGTCCTGACTGAAGTCCTGACAGTCCAAGAGGTACCCTCCAATCTCTGCCCACATTAACCAGAGTCAAGCGGGTCAAGCACTTAAACCGAGAAATGCTCTCCAAAGGAGGGCAAAGGGCTGGAAAGTAACGTGGAATCCTAAAGGCTAGCTTTCCGACTTGGGGCTACCCCAGACCACACCCCTGATGAGCAAAGAGAAAGGAATTTCAAGGGAACACCCAACTTCCTCCCTTAAAGTGCCGCTCCGCTTTTAACCTCAAACTCTGCTCCAGAAGCCTTTAAGGTGGGGGTCGCGGCGCCCCACCCTAAGCCCAATGGCACCCGTCCAGGCAGCAGGTAGGCGCCCCTTCCAACCCGGCCCCACTTTCTGCTCCAAACCATCGCATTAGTCCTCCCAGCTGGCGGCCTGCTCCTTCCGCCCGGACCCGCTAGCAGCCCGGAGCGAGGGCGTGGGCGACCCCAGGACCCCGCCTCGCCGCCTCCGGCTACCTACCGCAGCGCCAGCCGCCTCATGGCGCTCCACAGCCGCGAGCGCGCGCGATCCGAGACCCGGGCCTTGCGAGCCGGCCGGGGGGGCGGGGGGGAAGTCGAGGGAACCGAGAGCCGGAGAGCGCGAGCGCAAGCGCGGGACCAGACCTGCTCCCCACGACCGCACCCTCGCAGAGCAGCCGCCCGGGGGCGGAGCCTCGCTGCTCGGGGTGGGGGCTCGCGGCTGCCGGGGGTGGCACGCGGCGCCTGCAGCCGCTCCCATTGGCGCGAAGCCGGAGTTGGCCCCCACTCAATCAGCGCGCCGGGCGTATTGCTACGGGGAGGACCGGCCACTCCCCGCCACTGTCGATTAAAGGCACCACGGCCAGAGAGTGACGTGGAGGCCAGGAGTCCTGGCGGCTAGTCTCCGCTTTCCCGCTGCGCCGAAGGCCACGCAACCTTGACCCCCGCGTCTCGACCCCTGGTCTGTGGTTCTTGCCCTTCTGCTGCACGTCGGAATCTTCTGGGCAGCTTCCTGGAAGACTGATGCCTGAGCCCCATCCTCTGCGGATTCCGATATAGTCAGGAGTCTGGTCTGGTCTTTAGAATGTCTAAGGGCGCCCGGAGGCGATGCTTATTATGTAAGCAAAGTTAGAAACCACTACCCTAAAGGGAAAAATTGTTTCTGTTCTAATCTCGGCCTGCCCCCTAGTGTTTGAAAGTTGGGAGATTTCTGGCTGGCCCGGAGATAGATATTCAAGGCCAGAGAGTTAATGTGATTTTACTGTACAACCCGATTCTCCATTTCATTACACGAATTCCGTTTGCAGTAAGCCAGATGCTGTCTGTTGTGGATGGTGGGGATGCAATAAAATAGACAAAAATCCCTCCCTTGGGGGCTTACCTTACAGAGAAGAAAAACAAATCAACAAGTTACAAATAACATAATTTCCAACATGGTAAAGCAGTCTAAAGGAGAATCCAAACAAGATAATGAGAGAGGATCTTTACAGAATAAACACAAGTCTTGCTTTGCCCTTGAAGATGTTTCTTTCCTAGAAGGCAGGGACCAAACTGTATGCTTTTCTGATAGTCATGCTTAGTAAAAATGTGTCCATTTTAATTAAGCTGATTTTTTAAAATCATCACAAATTACAAATGGAACATGGTCTTTGGCTTTGGCTTTCCTCTCTACCTAACTTTTATCAGCCCTGCATCCTGAAGACTCTTCTTTCTGGATGAGCCTGCAGGGACCTCTCTTCCATTTTTGTTCGTATTGTCTGTACCTTTTCATGTGCTCGCTTCGGCAGCACATATACATACTGTTTGTACCTTTTCAGTGATGGTTTTGTTACATTTTGTGTCACCTAGACTTTTTAATACTCTACCACACCTAACACAGTACAATAAATATTTTATTGAATTACATTATTTTTCTTCTTTTTACTTTTAGTTAAAGCAATGTTAGGTTCAGAGAGAAAATTAAAAAGATGATTTTTTCAGGTTACAAAGATAGTATAATAATGGATAGGAACAATTTATAATTTTTGGGCAATCAAGTCACCTTCCAAAAGACACCTTTTCATCAGCATATAAATGGTGTCAAATGAGCCAGAACAGCTGAAACCAGGGACTCATTACTATAAAGATGCCCTCTCTCCATCCCTTATCTTCACTTCCCTCTGTACACTGGCCTCATTCTTTTTTCTATATATAATATCTTTCTCCACATAGCAAAAGAAGTTCCTGATCTTTACATCTTATAACCATAGCCACATGCATAGAGACTGACCCAAATTTCTGTGTCTCAAAAATTCTTGAGAGAAAAAGAGGATTGAGAAGTATAAGCTTTCCATTTTAAAATTAATAAGCCACAGAGATGAAAACTTCAACATAAGAAATATAGTCAATATTTTAATAACTTTGTATGGTGACAGATGGTGACCACACTTATGGTGACCACTGAGTAATGTACAGAATTGCAGAATCAATACGTTGTATGTCTGAAACTAATATAACATTTTATGTCAATTAGACTTCAATGAAAAAAAAAGTCCTGAGAAGGGATTCACTGGCCCAAGTGGGATCAGGCTCGCACCCTTGGACACACCCCAGGTCAACTGTGGCAGCAGGGCAAGGTCATATGATTGGCCCGTGTGACTTACCAGGAATCCCCTCAGCCAGAACCGTAGTCAAGTGCTCAATCACAATCTCTAACATGGCTTTTTCTAACAGTAACTACATAGTTTAGGGAAATGGAGCACTTCTTAGAAAAAGCAGTGCTGAGAAACCAACCCCATAGATGTCTACTACAGATGTAATTTAAACAGGAAAAAAAAATCCTATCACTTAACCCACTTACCTCAATTCTTACCTCACAGAACCCCTGTTAAACCCAGCTAGCCCAGCATTCATCCACATGTCCAATTTTCTCAAATAGCACACACATAAAATTCTTAAAACGGGCACATGGGCAGCTCAGTCTGTTAAGCATCTGCCTTTGGCCCAGGTCACGGTCCTGAGATCAAGCCCCACACTGGGCTCCTGGCTCAGTGCGGAGCCTGCTTCTCCCTCTCCCTCTGCTCTTCCCCACCACTTGTGCTCACTCTCTCTAGTGTAGTCTCTCTCTCTCTCTAATAAATAAACTCTTAATAAATAAATTATTAAAACAGCTTAGCAACCCTGATTTCTATGTGTGTATTGTTATAAAGCATATGTGTTATACCGAATTGTAGGTAGCAGGGATAAAAGGCAAAGTAGTCAAAAATCAGAACAGGAAACATCCAATAGTTGTACAGTGATGAGATCACTGTCCTTAAGTAACAGATTCTCCACCCCACCTTTTTGTTTCCTGCTATGCTCCATTAGTTCTATTTTGATTTGGTGTCAGGGTAACAGAGATAGTATCTAAAAAAAATCAAGCATTGATTTTTACATAAGATATTATCAAGATACATAAGATATTATCAAGGCCACTATTACAAGTAGAAGAATAAAATCAAACAGCACAACTGAAAACCTTGTCTGCTCAGTCAAGTAATACGAGTGAAAAGTATCTAGTAACCATCTTTCCTTGGGCTATTGAACCATATAAGCTTTTGGATATCTAACTTGGGTAGAGTAAGTTTTTGGAAAACTATGTCATCAACTTTCAAACAAACTGATTCTTGCTTGCTATGATTTCAATCAGGATCTAGAAATTACTTTTTAAAAAGTAGTTTATTTCCCAGATTATAGATATTACACAGAGGGATCCAGAATTGGGAGGTGGAGGAGGAAACAATGGGAAAGTGTTTTTCTCCCAAACCTTAAAGAAAAAACTGGAAAGACTAGTGAGCTGTTACATGAAAGTGTTTAGTATTATGTCCACTTGCCCCAAGAGTAGCAAAACTCAGTGATTTTTATCAATTTCCCTACCTTCCCTCAGTTCTACTTTATGACTACTCATCAAATCCAAGTGTTGAAAGGTTCATGTCTTTAATGGTCTCCTTTTCCTCTAACAATTTCCTCTTGCTTAAAAATAGCAAATGCTTAAAACATGTCGTACTATTGGTGATTTGGTGTCAGAGGGCCTCCTTAGGATAGGACATCTTTCAGGGTGTCATCTTCAATAAAAATGCTTCTTTCAATAAGAGAGAGCTTAAACAGTACAATTTCAATGGTGTCTCCCCTGCCAATGCCTAACCTTCTGATCATTCTTCACCGTCATGCCTCCCCTCTCTCCCACTTCATCCACTTTCACCAACAAATTCAGTTCTCTTTGATTTATTCCTCATTCTACACTCTATTTCTCTCTATTCTCCTGCCCAGTCACTTTCCATATTTCCTCATACCACCTCCAAGTGCTGTCATCCCAGATGAGAAATAGAGCCTCCAGTTACTCCAGGATAGCCTGTTCAGCTGGGCCAGTATAGAAGCCAATTTTGCCATTCCTCGGGCAAGGAAAACCAACAAGTACCTCTGAAACAATTATAGCTGCACTAGGACACACTAACCACGAAGGGAACAAAGCTGTAAACATATTTCATTCTCTTTGCAAAAGCTCATGCTTCAGAGTGCATGCAGGCTTTTAAAACTTACTTTACAGTAAGAATGTGCATATTTCATATATGCTAAAATCATGCTGGCTGCTTGAATTCATAAAACATGCTTTGGGGTATAAATTTGTATTTTGTGCTTTTGGGAGATGAGCCACACAAATACAGAGTGGTGCCAGTAGTATTAATTTACTTTATCTTTAGAAACACTGACGTTACTCTAGCTGGTTCATCTTTCTGTGTGGTATTTATAGGATTGTTAGACTGCTTTGTTTGGTTTATATAAGGAACTAACTAGCACATTGCACAAGACACTACATATGGCTTCTGTTTGGCCTCATCTCTGAAGGGAGAAAAGATCCTTATTTTACTCCTTCAAAGTGCCCATTTCTTCCTTGACTCTAGTTCCTACTATTACCCACAATTCCTCAGTCCTTGTGTATTACTCAGGCTCCTCCATCTCCCTCACCCTGGCCCTGGCAGCTCTCACAATACTTCCCTGAAGAGATATATGGTCAGAGACAGAGACAGAGGCAGAGAGAGAGAAGAAGAAGGAGGAGGAAGAGAGGATGGGGGAGGAGGAAAACGGGAGACAAGAAAGAAGAGAGAGACACACATACTCTGAGAGCTTGAGTTTGATTAGAGGGCATATTCAAGGTCCCCAATAGTACCAAGATCCAGCATTGGGACACGAGAGAAACAGTGATACCCACAGAAAGCTCAAATTAAAAACTTCAGTGACTGGAGCTGCTCCATCTCTAACTGAAGTCTGTGCTTCCCATCTGGGACGATAAGGATTGAGCAACACTGTAGGTGGCAGGTGAGGGAGTGGATGAGAGGAAATTAGGGGTTCTCTGTTGATGGGGGCATATCCAGGAGGCTCAGAATACTGTTGAGTCATTCCTGAACCAAGAGCCCCACTGAGGCCAAGATGTTTGGGGCGCAGCCTCCCCTCGGCTGCAGCTGACCTGCAAATTCTCTGCATTCCAAACAAGCCAGCCCCCCCCAAGAGAATTAACATCAGCCAGACTCAGTCCCCACCCGTTCTTGAGCTTTCCCTCCCTAGCACTGACACACCACCACCATCTCAGTCTCCTCCCCCTCGTGACTCCCCACTTCCTCCTTCAACACCACAGATGCCCACAGAGATT